ATGACGACGACTACGACGACGACGGCGACGACGACGACGGACGACGGCGGACGACGACGGACGACGAGGAGGACGACGGACGACGACGACGACGACGACGGACGACGACAGACGACGACGGACGACGAGGACGATGCCGGAAGGCGACGACGAGGACAACGACGGACGACGACGACGCCGACGACGGACGACCACGGACGACGACGGACGACGATGGACGACGACGACGATGACGACGGACGACGACGACGGACGACGACGACGATGATGACGCCGACTACGACGGACGACGAGGAAGAGAAGGACGACGACGGACGACGACGACGACGACCACGACGACGACGACGGACGACGACGACGGACGACGACGACGACGACGGACGACGAGGACGACGACGGACGACGACGACGACGACGGACGACGACGGACGACGACGGACGACGAGGACGATGACGGACGATGACGACGACGGCGGACGACGACGACGACGATGGACGACGACGGACGATGACGAAGACGGACGACGAGGACGACGACGGAAGACGGACGACGACGACGACCACGGACGACGACGGACGACGACGGACGACGACTACGACGTACCACGAGAACTACGACGGACGACGACGGACGACGACGTCGATGGACGACGACGACGACGGACGACGACGGACGACGACGACTACGAAGGACGACGACGATGATGACGACGCCGGCGGACGGACGACGATGACGGACGATGACGACGGACGGCGACAACGACGACTACGACTACGACAATGGAGGGCGACGGTCGACGACGACGGCGACGACGACGACGGACGACGACGGACGACGACGGACGACGATGACGACGACGGACGACGACGACGACGACGGACGACGACGGACGACGACGGACGACGAGGACGATGACGGACGACGACGACGATGATGACGGACGACGGACGACGACGACGACGACCACGGACGGCGCCGACTACGACGGACGACGACGACGATGCCGACTACGTCGACGACGACGGACGACGACGACGACGGACGACGACGGACGACGACGACTACGACGGACGACGACAACGTCGACGACGGCGCCGGACGACGACGGATGACGACGACGACTACGACGGGCGACGACGACGACGATGACGACGACGACGGACGACGACGGACAACGACGGACGACGAGGACGATGACGGACAACGACGACGACGACGACGGACGACGACGACGGACGACGACGGACGACGACTACGACGAACGACGACGACGATGACGACGACGACGACGACGATAACCACGACGGACTTACGACGGACGACGACGACTACGACGGACGACGACGATGATGACGACGACGACGACGGACGACTCCGACGGACGACGACGACGGACGACGACGACGACGACTACGACTACGACGGACGACGACGGCGACTCCGACGACGACGACGACGACGGACGACAACGACGACGGACGACGACTACGACGGACGACGACGACGAAGACGAACGACGACGACGGACGACGACGGACGACGACTACGACGGACGACGACGACGACGATGACGACGACGACGATAACCACGACGGACTTCCGACGGACGACGACGACTACGACGGACGACGACGATGATGACGTCGACGACGATGGACGACTCCGACGGACGACGACGACGGACGACGACGACGACGACGACTACGACGACGACGGACGACGACGGCGACGACGACGACGACGACGACGACGGACGACATCGACGACGGACGACGACTACGACGGACGACGAGCACGACGGACGACGACGGACGACGACGGGCGACGACGGACGACGACGGACGACGAGGGCGACGACGGACGCGGACGACGACGACGATGACGGGCGACGACGACGACGGGCGACGACGGACGACGACGACGACGACCGACGACGATGACGACGACGATGACGACGACGACGACGACTACGACGGACGACGACGACTACGACGGACGACGAGGACGACGAGGACGACGACGGACTTCGAAGACGACGTTGACGGACGACGACGACGACGGACGACGGACGCCGACGACGACGGACGACGATTGACGACGACGACGGACGACGACGAGGCACGACGACGAGGACGACGGCGACGGAGGACGACGGACGACGAGGACGATGACGACGACGAGGACGACGACGATGGACGACGACGGACGACGACGGACGACGACGGACGACGAGGACGATGACGGACGACCACGACGACTGACGACTACGGACGACGACGGACGACGACGGACGACGTCTGACGACGAGGACGATGACGGACGACGACGACGACGACGACGACGGACGACGACGACGACGAGGGACTACGACGGACGACGACGACTACGACGGACGACGACGGCGACGATGACGACGGACGACGACGACGACGACGGACGACCATGGACGACGACGGACGACGTCGGACGACGACGACGATGACGATGACGACAACGACGATGGACGACGACGACGACGACGGACGATGACGGACGACGACGATGACGACGGGCGACGGCGACGACGATGGTGACGACGACGTCGACGGACGACGACGGTGCACGATGACGAGGGAGGACGACGACGACGACGAAGTAGACCGACGGAGGACGGCGACGACGACGACGACGACGACAACGGACGACGACGGACGACGACGGACGACGACGGATGACGCTGGACGACGACGACGACAACGACGATGACGACGATGACGACGGACGACGACGACGACGGACGACGACGGTCGACGACGACTACGACGGACGACGACGACGATGACGACGACGGACGACGACGACGATGACGACGTCGACGACCACGACATCGACGGACGACGAGGACGATGATGGACGACGACGACGAACGATGACGGGCGACAACGACGACGGACGACGACGGACGACGACGACTACGACGGACGACGATGACGACGACGATGACGACGACGACGACTACGACGGACGACGACGACGACGGAGGACGACGACGACGACAGACGACGACGGACGACGACGACGATGACGGACGACGACGACGACGGACGACGGACGACGACGACGACTGACGACGAGGACGACGAGGGACGACGATGACGACGACGACGACGACGGACGACGACGAGGGACGACGATGAAGACGACGACGACGACGGAGGACGACGGACGACGAGGACGATGATGACGACGACGACGACGGACGACGACGGATGACGACGGACGACGACGGACGACCAGGACGATGACAGACGACGACGACGACTGACGACGAAGACGACGACGACGACGACGGAGGACGATGGACGACGAGGACGATGAGGACGACGACGGACGACGACGAAGGACGACGAAGACGACGACGACGACGACGACGGACGACGACGGACGACGAGGACGATGATGACGACGACGACGACGGACGACGACGGATGACGACCGACGACGACGGACGACGAGGACGATGACGGACGACGACGACGACGGACGACGACGACTACGGACGACGACGACGACCGACGGACGACGACGACGACGGACGACGACGGACGACGACGACGGACGACGGACGATTACGACGACGACGACGACGACGACGGACGACGACGACGACGACGACGGACGACGATGCACTACGACGGACGACGACGGACGACGACGACGACGACGGACGACGACGACGGACGACGACGACGGACGACGACGACGACGACGACGACGACGACGGACGCCGACGGACGACGACGGAGGACGACGGACGACAAGGACGATGACGGACGACGACGACGGCGACGGACGACGACGTCGACGGACGACCATTCAAGACGATGACTACGACGGACGACGACGACGATAACGACGACGACGACGGACGACGACGATCGACGACGACGAGGGAGGTCGACGACAGCGACGACGGACGACGACGACGACGAGTACGACGACGACGACGACGGACGACGACGACGACGGGCGTCGCCGGACGACGACGACTACACCGGACGACGGCGACGACGATGTTGAGGACGACGACGACGGACGACGACGACAGACGATGACGAGGGACAGACGACGACGAACGATGACGGACGGACGACGACGAGGATGACCACGATGACGATGACGACGACGACGGACGACGACGTCGACGGACGACGACGGTCGACGACGACTACGACGGACGACGACGACGACGATGACGACGACGACGACGACGGACGACGACGAACGACGACGACCACGACGTCGACGGACGACGACGATGACGGACGACGACTACGACGGACGACGGACGACGACGACGACGACGGACGACGAGGACGACGAGGGACGACGATAACGACGACGACGACGACGACGGACGACCACGAGGGACGACGACTAGACGGACGACGACGACGACGACGACAGACGACGTCGACGACGACGACGACCACGGAAGACGAGGACGATGACGGACGACGACGGCGACGAGGACGATGACAGGCGACGACGACGACGGAGGACGACGGACGACGACGACTACGACGGACGGTGATGACGACGATGACGGCGACGACGACGACGACTACGACAGACGACGACGACGGACGACGACGACGGACGACGAGGACGACGAGGGACGACGATGACGACGACGACGACGACGACGATGACGGACGACCACGAGGGACGACGACGAAGACGACGACGGACGACGACGCCGACGGAGGACGACGGACGACGATGACGATGATGACGACGACGACGACGACGACGGACGACGGCGGATGACGTCGGACGACGACTGACGACGAGGGCGATGACGGACGACGACGACGACGGAAGACGACGGTTACGGACGACGACGGACGACGATGGACGACGACGGACGACGACGACGACGGACGACGACGTCGACGGACGACGACGGACGACGACGACGACGACGACAGCGGCGGCGCTCCCCCCGCCGATACCGCAGGCGCGGCCGCGTGCGCGGCGGCAGGCGCCTCTGGCGGGGCACACGGCCTCGCAGAGAAGGCGGTGCCTCGTCGTCGTCGTCGTCGTCGTCGTCGTCGTCGTCGTCCGTCGTCCCTCGTCCTCGTCCTCGTCCTCGTCGTCCGACTGTCGTCCGTCGTCGTCGTCCGCCGTCGTCGTGCTCGTCGTCGTCGTCGTCGTCGTGGTCGTCGTCGTCCGTCGTCGTCTTCGTCGTCGTCGGGCGAGAGGATGCCCTCGTCTTTTTTGTTCGCTGCGCGTGCCGTGATGCGGCCGCGAGCGGCGACGTTGCCGCCACTTGCGTGGTCTCCCGCCCCCGGGGCCCGCTCGCCGCGGGGCTGCCGCGCCGCCCTCGCGGGCTCCGCCCTCGTGGGCTCCCCGGGGGGGGGGGGGGAGCAGCGGAGTGACGTTTTGCGCAGCTCGGGTGAGACCTCGCCGTCCCCGGGGGCTGCGCTTTCGAGGCCGTCTCCGCTCTCGTGGGGGCGAGGCTCCAGCTCCTCCAGCTCAGGCGAGGGCGCTGTTGCAGCCCCACGGCGTGTAGTTTCGCCTCCAGGCGGAGGAGGGGGAGGAGGAGGAGGAGGAGGAGGAGGAGGAGGATGAGGAGGAGGAGGAGGAGGGGGAGGAGGATGGGTCAGATGAGACCTCGCCGTCCCTGGGGGCTGCGCTTCGAAACCGTCTCCACTCTCGTTGGCTCCCGGGAGGTGCAGCGGGGTGACCTCCTTTCAGATTCGAGGAGCCCTCGGCGTCCCCGCGCGCGGCAGACGGAGACAGCGTCGCCTCTCCGTGGGCTCCTGGGAGGTCCAGCGAAGCGACATTCTATTCGTAAGTCGGGCGTGTCCCTCTGCAGGAGGAAAGCTTCAAACATGGTGAAGGTATAGTCAGGGCACGATTTGTGAGTCTTTGGATTTTTCGTGATTATTTTCTTGTGGCTAGTTTTCATTTTTCTTTCAAAATCCGCCTGCAGGAGGCCATGTCCGACCTAATTCTATTCAGGTCCGATGAAACCTCACCGTTCCTGCGTCGCATGTTTCGTGGGCTCCTGGGAGGACCAGCGGAGCGACGTTTTGTTCAGATCAGGTGCGGCCTTGCCGTCCTGAGGGCTGCGAGCTGCGAAACTGTCCCGTTTCCTTTCTGTCCTTCTCGCGGTGTCCTGTGAGAGGCGTGCAACGCGCGAGCCTCCCATGTAGTTCTGGCAGCAGATCGAGGTCCTTACCATGCCATCACCCGTGACGAGTCGTCCAAAGTCTGTAGCCGCCCACTGCAGAGGGGCTGTGTACGCCGCCATGCTGTTTTGTGGCCATGCTGTTTTGTGTGGGGGGAGGCGTCGCGGCGGGGCGTGATGTGCCGCGCTGGGGCTGGGGCGCGTGCGGGCGAGCGGGCGATTGAAGGGTCGGGACGTCTCCGGCTGCCCTGGAGGGGAAGGCAATCAGGCCCCCGAGACCAGGACACAGATAAACCAGGACACGGAAAATCAAGGAAACGACATCCTTTCCTGCAAAGTTACGTTTTTCAGCACCCGTGCATGTTTTGTTTGCTGCACTGCAGGATCCGGGATTGTGTCCGGGTTTAGGGGGGTCTTGCAGGCTTTTTGAGGCTTCTGTCTTGGTTTGTTCTGGACATGCTGCAGTGCAGTATTTTGCTCGTGCCGCCGTTCGGAAAAATTGGTTTCGAGGGATGCTGGGTGTCCGGGTCTAGCGTGTCCGGGTCTACGGGGCCCGTGCGGCACGGGGGGTCCACGGTTCGCTGCGGCCCGGCTGCCTCATGGTCGGCCGCGTCCGGCTGGCTCGGTCCGGTCGGCCGTGTGCGCCCACGAGTCCTCCTCGAGGCTGCGCTCGGCCCGTCGGTTCCGGTCTCGCGGTCGGTTCGGTCGGTTTCTTGTGTGGTTTGGTCCGGTCGGTTCGACAGCCGATTGTGCGAATATATATATATATATATATATATATATATATACTCCTCTTCCTATATTTTTACAAGCCCGGGCGGGGGGAAAACCCATCATCCCCCTCCCACCCCCAAAACCGGACTCCCGGGATCCGGGGCTTTGGGACCTTCCGGACGGGCCTCGAAGCGGCCCCCTGGGCCTCGCAGGGCGTTTTGCCAAGCCTTCCCAGCACACCTATGGCGATCAGGGGGGTCATCGGAGACGTCCCAGAGACCCCCAAGACAGTCAAGATGGCCCAAAAGGCCTCCAGGACGGCCCCAAAGAGGCCTCCAAGAGCACTCCCAAGAAGGCCCCAAGAGGCACAAATCTTTGATTTTCTGCTGGTTTTTGCTGAATTTTGGGGTTCTCCTCTTTTCGGCTTCCCGACGCTCCAAGACGGCGGTCTTCTGGGCGTCCGAAGCCGCCTGGGAGGCTCCAACATCGCCCCACAACCATCCGAAAGGGCTTCCAGGCAGTGCAAGAGAGCCCCAAAACGGCACAACACGGGTCCAAGATGACCCTCAGAGAGCCCCATGGCGGCCCAAGATGGCCCCAAGACACCCTCCAGAGCATTCCAAATCGTGACCCGGTCGTTCAGGGAGACCGCGGTTGGAGGCAGGGTGGCCGGAGGAAGTCCCCAGAGGCCCCCAGAATACGCCCAGGAGGCCTCCAGAAGGCCTTAAGAAAGCCTGAAACAACTTTTGTGAGGCCCCCAGAGGCTATCCAAGGAGGAGCCTCCGCAAAGAGCTGAGGAGGATGGGGAGAATGCGCAGGGTACGGCGAAAATTGAGGAAAAAGAAGCATGGAGGAAGGATAACGAATAACATTATTATAGCGGCGATGCCGGAGAAGGCAACAAGGAGCTATCTCTAAATTGTCGGCTTGACCTTCCTGCTATTCCGCCTGCATACCAAACTTCAAGGACCAAGGTGCATGGCGCGAAGCGCCACTGCAGTCTTGTATACATATATATATATATATACGTGTTTATATATATATATATACGCCATGGTGAGGGATTGGAGGGAGGGGCAGGTCGTCATATATGACGCGAGCGCCCGCGGCCCGCGGGGCGCTGGGCTCCGAGCGGCGCGGGCGGTTTCAAGGTCTGCCACCCTCTGGTCTTCGAGAAGCAAACCCAGACATGATCGCGTCGTTAAAAAAATCCGTTTTTTGGCAATAGATAATAATACTCGTATCATTCTTATTATCATTATCATTATTATCGTTACTATTACTATTATTGTTATTACAATTTGTATTATTAGTGTTCTTATTATCATTATTGTTATCATGTTACTATAATTCGTATTATCATTGTTATTGTTATTCGTATTATTATTACTATTATTCCCTACCAACGCTCTGCCTAGAGGGTTCTTACTTTGTTTGCTTAAAGGGGCCGGGCAGTGTAACACGCCACGGGCGGTTCCCCCAGTCCCCTCCCCGCGGTTCCCCCAGTCCCCTGGGAGCCTTAGCTTTAGCTTTAGCTTAGCTTTAGCTTAGCTTTAGCTTAGCTTTGGCTAAGCTTCAGCTTAGCTTTAGCTTAACTTTAGCTTAGCTTTAGCTAAGCTTTAGCTTAGCTTTAGCTTAGCTTTAGCTAAGCTTTGGCTTAGCTTTACTGTTACTACTAATGCTGCTTTCCTAGGGGCTCCAACTCCTAAGTAGGGTCGCACTGGGATAATAATGATGATTCTTATTAGTATTGTTTTTATTATTATTATTGTTATTGTTATTATTATTATTATTATTAGTTTTAATATTATTATTAATAGTATTATTTTATCATTATTATTCTCATTATTATTATCATTATTCTCATTACTAATATTATCTTCATTATTAATTAGTCGTGTTTTATATGTGTATAAAATTTTTTTGGGGCGGTATTTTTTGGCCTCGGGGGGCCGTCGCCGGGTTTCGGGACCGTGCAAAAACGACTCAGGATGAAAAATCCGTCCTGGGGAACGGGTGGGGATTTCCAGGGACCCCGCATTGAAAAAATAGGAACCTCGGGTGTCTGGGCAGGTTTGTGACCCTCTGGCCTTTTAGACTGACTTAGGTCCCCGATTTTGCACTCGGGATGATGGGTATCGGCGCTTTGGTTTGATACCTCTGTTGAAAAGACACCCTATCCCTAATTTTTCGGGGGCGGCAGAGAGGGGGGTGATGACTAGGGAGGGTGTGGATATCATGGCGGGGGCCATGATATTTCCTCAGATTTCATGGCGCCTCTTCTTATTTCATTACGTCCCTGGCCCCCCCTGGGCCGCGCACATGTCGCCGGTCATGATTTGCACCCCCCCCGTTTTGGAGACCCCCCTCTTGGCCGCTCCCGAATGTTATGGCCCTCCTGACAGGTCCGCTGTCAAAGGATTAGAGGCCCGTCCACTGCCAGTGATTTTTGGGTTCCGCTTTAGGGGCCGCTCGGCGTCGGAGGCCCCTGAGCGGGGCTCATCTCGACTCCTCCGCCTCGATGCGGTTTGATTTCGATCGATTCCGATTCCGATTCGGTTCGGCTTCGGATGCCGATTCGGATCGCGGTTTCCCTATGGAAGCCCGATTCGCCTGCCCGTTTTCGCCGATTCGACCTCTCCCGACTTGGTTGCCGATTTCCGCCGATCCGATTCATTTCGATCGCCGATCCCACTTGTCGATTCGATTCTGGGCTCTACTGCCCCGAGCCCCAGGCGGTGTGGCGACCACACCGTGTGGTGGGTCAGTGGGGATTCGGGGTGGTCGCACGGTCCTGGGACTCGCGTCGTTCTCCGAGGATGCCTCGGGCGACCAGTTTCTCCGCTGCCCCAAGGACCGTGCGGCGACGGACCGTGCGGCGGGGTCTCCTTGGTGGTTCCGAGGTCACCGCGCCGTCTGTCATGATGGGCTTGTTTTCCACCACCACCAGAAGTTGGAGGGGGGAAGGGCGTGGAGGATGAGGAGGATGAGGATGAGGATGAGGATGAGGATGAGGATGAGGATGAGGATGATGAGGAGGAGGAGGAGGAGGAGGAGGAGGAGGAGGGAGGAGGAGGAGGAGGAGGACCCCCTCCCCCTCCCTGCTTGTGGTGGTGGCGGTGGACAAGAAACCCACCATGTCACCGCCCTGTCTTGGGAAGCCCAAGGTCGGCTTCGTGTCCGAGTGACCCCTCGCCAAAGTGGCCTCTTGGTGCGCGGCTGTCGGGGGGCTCGGGGGCCAAGCCCATGTGAACGCGCTGGCTGCCGCCGTCGCGCCGCAGGCAGCGATCGGCAGGCCACGCATCAGATGCCACTCCTGCGTTGGGGATCTCTGCGTGTAGCCGAGATGACCACCTGGCCAGGCCGTGCAGGGTCCACTCCTCCTCCTCCTCCTCCTCCTCCTCCTCCTTCTCCTCCTCCTCCCTCCTCCCTCCCCTCCTCCCTCCTCCCTCTTCCCTCCCCTCCTCCTTCTCCTCTCCCATCCTCCTCCTCCTTCCCTCCTCCTCCTCCTCCTCCTCCTCCTCCTCCTCCTCCTCCTCATCCTCCTTCCTTCTCCCCCTCCTCCTCCTCCTCCTCCTCCTCCTCCTCCTCCTCCTCCTCCTCCCCGTCCTCCGTCTCCTCCTTTCCCCCCCGCGTCGGGGCGCCCTGATCGTTTGCCCCGACGCAGGGCTCATGTCGACTCCTCCGATCCGATTCGCTTCGATTTCGATGGCCTCCGATTCCGCTTCGTTCCGACCTCGGGTTCCGATTTGGATTCCGACCCCTCAGTGGAGGCCTACCAGCCCGCCGACTTTTGCCAATTCGACTCCTCCCGACTTGGTTGCGAATTTCCGCCGATTCGATTCGTGTCGATCGCCGATTCAACTTCTCGACTCGATTCTGGGCTCTCCGGACGGCTCGCCGCGCGTCGCCGCGCAGGTGGCCCCAGCCGTCTCCAGATTCAGCGTGTGCGTGCCCAAGCAGTACCCGGGCGTGCAGTACCGGAAGCAGCCCCCCGCGCCCGCCTCCCCTGTGGGGGCTTTCGAAGAGGAAAGCCCGAAGAAGAACACCCAGCATGAGCATAGTTGTTGTTCTCGGTCCGCGCGGATTCCTTGGAGCTGCGCTGCGAACCCCCTGGCGGCGCCTCCGGCAGCGCCCCTGGCGCGCTCCGCGCGCCGGGGAGAAGAGAGTCCGGCGCAGATCCAAGAAATCCGCGCGGTCTGTACATTTCTCGCGGGCGTCCCGGGGGCTTCTCGTCGCCACGGCGGGATGCCGTTGGAGGTGCGGGTCAGAGAGCGCGCCCGAGGGTTTTTTTGTTGAGGGGCAGGAGGAGGAGGAGGAGGAGGAGGAGGAGGAGGAGGAGGAGGAGGAGGAGGAGGAGGAGGAGGAGGAGGAGGAGGAGGAGGAGGAGGGGCGGGCCGCCACAAGCAGAAGTTCCTGCGGTTGTCTGCCGTCTGCAGGCTCCCGGGGTCCTCCCCCCAGGCCCCGGGGTGTCAGGGAGAACAGGCCGAGAACGAGTTGGGACGACGAGCTAGTTCCAGGGGAAGCCATGGGGTCCGGTACCCGTTTTCTTCATGACGCTCTTCTGTTCATGCCGAGGGGTAGAGCTAAAACAACACGAAGATCGGGAAAAAATCGGATCGGGATAATTCGAAATCTCTGAGAATCGGCGGGTTTGGAGGATGTATTGGGCGCCGCGGCCGCTCCAGAGCGTTCCGGAACGCTCTGAGAGCGCTCCGGAACGCTCTGGAGCGATTTATCCCGATCCTAGCCCTGTTTTAAGAGCAAGATCAGTGGTGGTGACGCTGGCGATCAGCAGTCGTAATGACAGGCGACAGCGAGCGCGGTGACGAACAGGACGGTGACGTCTACGACGACGAGGAGAGTGGCCGCGAGGACGAGGGTCTAAGCGGCGAGCACGACGATGGCGAGCAACGAGCGCACGGGTCCTGGATCGTGTTGTATCGTGTTGTCGGAGGTGAGGGGGTGAGATCGAAGTGGAACGGAGAGCCCCCCTACCGGGAAATCGATTTCGGTTTCGTGTTCGTGCGTGCCGTGCGGGCGAGGCGAAGCTGCGTGGGCGGGCGAGAGAAAGTCTCCTGTGGCTGAGGCGAGGCCGGACCAAATGACTCCCTTCCGGGCGGCGAGGGCCCTGCGGTGTCCCGCGGGTGTCCCGCTGGTGTCCCGTGTGGCTGAGGCGCGGCCGGCCAAATGATTCCCTTCCGGGCGGCCGGGGCCCCGCGGTGTCCCGCCGTGTCCCGCTGGTGTCCCGCGGTGTCCCGATAGTGATGGTCCCCGAGATCATGATGATGATGATGATGATGGTGATGATGATGATGTTGATGATGGCGAATGATGTGATGATGATGATGATGATGATGATGATGATGATGATGATGATGATGTGGTGGTGATGATGGTGATGATGATGGTGATGATGATGATGATGTTGATGATGATGATGATGATGATGATGATGATGATGATGATGATGACGTCGATTGTGAGATCGATTGTGAGATCAATAGTGAGATCGACAGTGAGACCGAATGTGAGACCGATTGTGAGATCGATTGTGAGATCGAATGTGAGATCGATTGTGAGATCGATAGCGAGATCGATAGTGATATCGATAGTGAGGTCGAATGTGAGATCGATTGTGAGATCGATAGCGAGATCGATTGAGTGAGACGTTGGTTCCCCCTCCCCCCTCACCTCCTTATCACCCGCAGGGTGGTCGTATAGGTATTTATCGCTTTCTCGAAGCAGGACGGAGCGGCTTCGCGGCGTGGGCAGTCGTCAGCTTTCGGAGGTCCGCGCAGCTTCCCCGCGTCGTTGCGGGACCCTCTTGGCGGCGCCTTCAGCGCCACCACGTTGGTAGCGCTTCCTTCATGGTGGGAGGGTGGGCTACAGTCAAGACCGAGGTATAAGATCGAGGTCTATTCGGGGAGGGTGACCCAGTGTTCTTCGTATTTGTTGGATGTTCTTGTGCATCCTGGGGAGGGTACTCTTGGATGTTCTGTTTGTTTTGGCCGACGGAGGACTTCATGTTTTTGGAATCTGTTCTTCTGGCCCAGGTCCGACTGTACAGTCAAGATGCTGAAATGACGACCACTTCGGGCTCAGGAGGGGCTCTGGTTTTCAAACCGTTCTCTGGATACAGGTCGGGGGACATGTTCGGGGCCGAGGCTCGCCGTGGCCAGAACAATGCCCTCCGCTCCATGGAACGGCGTTCCTCCTGTCAGCACGACGATGGCAGCACCCCTTGCCCATGGATTCACGAAGGGTCTGGTTCTGGTCGGTTCGGGAAAGGCTTCGGCATGGTCGTTCGAGCCAGTTCGGCTGGTTCGGCTGGTTCGGTTCGGCGCTCACGCAGCGGTCCGGTTTTGGGCGAGCGTCGGTTACGTTTAACCAATCCCCATCCCCATCCCCATCCCCTTCGAGACCCCTACCAAATTCCCCCCCCCCCACTTGGGGATACACCCCTCGAAACCCGCGGGGAACGACCTATATCCCCATCTAAGGGGGGTAGATCGGCCAGTGTGGCCCAGGCCACGCCGCTGGGGATGGGGATCGGTAAAACGATACGCAGAGCGGGTTAAGTCGTTCTCGTGGGCGGCGGCCTGGACATCGCGAGGTGCTTTGCCGCCGCTGTCGCTGCGGCTGCCAGGCCCACGAGGAGCGGGGCGAGGAGGAGGAGGAGGAGGATGAAGAAGAGGAGGATGAGCAAATCGCAAGGGTTGCTGCCACTGGAGAGGCTCGACGTTTTAGGCTTCAGGTTTCTTTTGTGGGCCAGCTCTCGAGTTCCTGGGCCTCTGAGGCTTCCAGGGAGCGCCAGGAGGCCCCTGGAGCTTCCGGCGCCCAGGTGCCCTGTTGGCATGGACGGGGGAGCCCGGGGCGCTTGAGCTCCTTGCTCCCACCTCTCTTCCTTCGCACTCTCCCCAGGCTCCGTCTTGCCCCCTGTGGGCTCCCCATGGCTCTCCTCCTCCTCCTCCTCCGCCTCCTCCTCCTCCTCCTCCTCCTCCTCCTTCTCCTCCTCCTCCCCCTCCTCCTCCTCCTCCTCCTCCTCCTCCTCCTCCCTCCTCCTCCCTCTCCTCCTCCTCCTCCTCCTCCTCCTCCCCCTATTTCTCCTCCTCCTCCTTCTCCTCCTCCTCCTCCTCCTCCTCCTCGTCCGGGTGGTTTCGCTGCGGGCGCCGCAGCCATTTGCCCTGGGGCGCGGTGGTCCGCCCGCGATTGCCCCCAGCGCCACGGCCCTTGCGCGCTTCCCTGGCGTTCGCCGCCGAGTGCGACGGCGGCGTGAAGCTGCGAGGGATCGCTTGCGCCGCGAGCGCGGCGTGCTGATCCTAGAGTATTACTACGCCAGCTGCGCCCCGATGGGTTGGCGGCGCCATGCGCCATGGCGTGGTGCTGGTGGTGCCTGGCGGTATGATCCAGGTCCTCGCAGGAGCAGGGCCGCTAAGTCTCACAACTCCGCGTGCAAGGTTTGTTCGGCATGGGGACGTTGGGAGCTCACGAGGTGGGGACATAAGCATTGCAGCAAGTGCCAGGCTCCCTACCCCAACCCCGTCCAGCCACCCTCGAAGCCTGCAGCTGCTGCGGTTCAGGTTTAGGACCAGGGCGGTGACATGCCCCCAGAGCTGGTTGCACAGCTCCAGATGTGGTCCGCACGCCTCCCCGTCCTGGCAGAAATCGTGCAAAAGGTGGCATCAGCGCCGAGCCCACCAGCTAGCGTGGTTCTGTCCCCCATGGAGTTGGACTGCATGGCGTCGGCGCAGCAGACGGACTTGGCCAAACTATGCGAGAGTGCGGCCACAGCGGGGCGGTTGTCATATAAGATGTGCAATGGAAGTTCGAGCGTTTCAGTCAGACTCGGAATTTGCTGGTCGAGCCCGAGGTTGCGTGCAACGATGCGATGGCCGACTTGCAGCGCGCCGCTGAGGCGAAGGCAGCAGCAGATCAGGACAATAACGTGTTCGACCCCAATGCGTTCAAGGTTCAGAAGCAGCAGGAGGTGGCGGCGCAGCGTGCTGCAGCAAAGGAGGCCGCCCGCGCGGCTCGCGCGGCGGCTCAGGCTGCGGCCCCAGCCCCCGCCGCGGCGCCAGCCCCTGGCCAGGCGGCCCAGGTGAGCGGCCCTTCTCCTGCTGGTGGTGCAGCTGATGGCCAGCGTGGTGCTGGGCGTCCTGGAGCCCCTGTTGCTCCTGAGACGCCTCAGTTCCCGCCCAACACCATGTGCTGCATTTCCAAGCGAGCCGTCGACTACAACTACCTGGAGTCGAACCTGCACAGGTTCGATGATCGTCAGCTGGAGTCCTTGGCATCGTGTACCACGATATCTCTTGGCCAGTGGAAGAAATCCCGCATGCACATCCAGCGGCGTGTAAGAGCTAAAGCAGGTGGCATTGACGTGGATGATGCGAGCGCCGTCGGCAGCTAGGCGGGGGGGCCGCTGGAGCGGGACGAGCTCGCCGACCTCAAGAATCGTGGCGCTGAAGCTGGACTCGATGCAGTTCAGGCCCAGATGTGCCAGACCCTGCGCGCGACCCTGGTGGAGAGTACGATTGCTAAGCGTGCTCGTCGTTCTGGGGCCCAGTCCCACGACGTGTTCAGAGCGTTTTGCACAGCTGCCTCTCAGAGCCTGGTGCCAGGTTCCGCGGCAGCTAGTGGCGAGCAGTAGCTTGGACAGGGACCAAGCCCCACAGGTGGTGGCAGATGCGCGTGCATGTGTCTTTGTTAAGTTTACGAACGTAACTAGATGGTCCAAGTTGGCCCACAATTTCTTAGCCACTGAGTTTTATGAGGTTGGTGGGGTCTTCGTGGTTGAACACCACTTCCGCAATGGTGCAGATCTATTCCGTGCGAAGATGCTCTGCAGGCGTTCACGTTGGTCTCCTGGCTAACAAGGCGTTGCGCCCACTCCTTGAGGAGGCCCTCATGGTGGAGTCTGTGCCGCGGTTTAGCCTGGCCTCTGCAGTCGGAAGTTTTTTGATTCAGACCGATGAGGTGGTCC